TGCGGCCGCCGGACCCAGCCAGACCGGGCGCTGCGCCTGGCTCGGAGCAGGCCCTCCCGCTCCCTCCCGCTCCCTCCCCGCCCCTGGCCCAGTGATGTCATCCACCGGGCCCAGCGCGCAGCCGCGGGGGGCTGCGCCCCTGGGACCCCGGCCCTCGGCGTCCTGGCGCCCGGCATGGCGGCTGGGGAAACTGAGGCCCGCCGAGGGCATGGCTCTGACCCGGATCGGGCAGCCAGGGAGGGAGTGATGTTTCCGACCCTGGACTTGGGCAGGGGTCCCCTACTTCAACCCCCCCCTCCCTCCCCGGTCACCCAAGTTCCTAGAAGGACGGAGGTGGTGGAGACCTAGAAATCACCTCCCTCCCTCCCTTGTGACTGGTGAGGAAACAGGCCTAGAGTGGCAGGTAGGCTTGGTCAAAGGACAGAGCCCCAAAACGTGAGGTTAGCCTTCTCCAGCCTCACCGTGCCAGCCAGAGGTACTTGAAAGTCGGGCCTTTTCTGTTTCCTAATGGGGAAACTGAGACCCAGAGAGGGGAAAGGTCGTGCGTGGGGGCGCACAGCGTAGATTCGGACCCAGGAGTGCCAGGCTGGGCTGGCTGGGGGGCGGGGTCTCAGAGAAGCCGACTTGCAGCCCCCTGGGCCTGTTTCCCAGGCTATAAGCCAGGGGCATGGGCTGGGAGGCTCACGGGCTCCTCCGTTTCTCGGGCGCCCTGTCCGGCAGCAACCCACTGAGCCCTTGGGCCTCAGCCTCCAAAGCCCACGGGCGCCTCCCGCCGCAGGCTCGTCGTCCCCCCCTCTCCCCCGGGCCGCAAGGATGGATCCCTTCTGCACCGGGGTAACGGGCATCACGGTCGTCCCAGGCCCCAGCCTCCCAGTCACCACCTAGGCCGATTCACCCCCCAGCCCCGCCCCAGCCAGGGCCGACTGCTGAGAAACAAAAGGAGGGGCGGGGGAGCGAGGGCAGATGGGGGGGCGGGGCAAGGCCGCTTGGAGCCGGATCGATAAATAGGGAGATGAGCTCAGTCAGCCCAGCCGCCGCCCGTGGCGGGAGGAGGAGGTGATGGGGAGAGTCTTGGGGGCGGCGCGCGCGGCCGCG